ATTGTTCATTTTGGAAGCATTAGAGTACTACTTTTAGATCTTAAGTAGGAGAACCAGGAGATGCAGGTTTATATTACTATGGTAAAGATTATTCTAGGTTTTTTTCCTGTGCATGTACATATATTACATATACATACATTTTACAAAAATGACATTAAAGATGTTGTTTTGACAGGTTATAATTCTTTGAGGATTTTTATTTTAAAACTGAAGGCCAGACATATGGGTAATTATTTTGACTTATTATCTTTACTATTTATAGTTTACAAATCAACTATATAAAATGAGCTTCCATTGGAAAGATTTTATCTGGCTTCCCTCCCAAACAGCAATATTTGAATAGGAAAGCAGAAAATTATCTAATGAAAATGTATTGTTGTGCATTTATTGCATAATCTAGTATTAACAACAGCTCTATCTAATAGATAAAATCATTCTGTTTCCTAAATGAAGAAAATGTGGTTCAGAGGTCGACTAGTTCATATTTATGTAGCTGGTAAAAGCTGGAATTCAGACCCAGGTCTCTCTGTTTCTAAATGTGATTTCCATTATATCCCACTGTTTCGTGAACTTGTGAAAGTGCCTCTTATTTTTTTCTCTTTATGTTTCATTCCAAATACTCATTCTTATCTTGTTTTCAGAACCAATGCTGATATAAACTAGGAAGAATCATATTTTACTCACCGTTGATGTTTTGTATTTCGTCTATTGTGACCCAATTTTGGAAGCAAGGTTTCTGCTTATTAGGTGAGGGTTTTATCTTGTATTGTTTGTTCCCTCTTAGGAACTGAAATCCTGTTTCTGAGTCCTGGGCCAGGGCTGGGGCCTTGCAAACTGAGGGAGACTGTCCTGATATCAATTACTTAATTATTAAAAGCTCTCCCTGACTACTGCCTTTATTTGTATTCCCTGTCACTGGTTGCTCCCCACTAGAATGTGCCATCATCCCATGTTAGCCCTTTCTGATGCTGCTTGCAGTGCACCACCACCCGTGTTCTGTAGCTCTGTCTTTGGAATAGTGTGTTCTGTCTTCTGCTTCACCTTTCCTTCCACTGTGGGTATCTGGGACTGACTTTCCCCCACTGTCCCTATTTCCTGCATTGTCTGCCGTTCCTTAATGGTCAGGTCTAATCCTAGCCCCAGCACACCCCCACCCCTTACTTGGCCTTGTTCCTTGCTGCATGATCCTGACAGCGATACCAAAGAGTATAGGACTTAATCCCTGTTTGAGGTCTAGCTGCTGATACGTGTGACAGAAGCACATATATCAGAGCTGTAAGAGATCTTAGCCTTCCCCTAGCCTAACCATCTCGTGTTATGAAGAAACAGAGGCAAAACTTTGCACCTCGCGTCAGTTTTGGCAGAGTTAGGACTAGAATCAACGGTAACCTCAATTAGATTATTTTTATATTCATTTTCAACAAATAGCCCCTATACCTAAGTAAGCCTTAAGCATACTTTAAAAAATACAAATTGAGATGCCAAATTTATATTAGTATGTACTATCAATATTTGATAAGATATTAGATTAGTGTATTTTTGTTTTATATGGAAACACCAAAAAAAAAAGGAGTTATTTGGAAACTTGTCTGATTTCATAACTGCCAATATCTGAAAGTTGGAATATTTTTTTTTAGCAAAGCAATGTCATTCCACCAGATGTCACTGTTTGCATGTAGCAATGAAGTTACAATGATTAAAAATAAAATTACCCCCTCTCTAATCATATTTTGTAAAAAAAAAAAACTTCTGTATAATTGCACTCTTATCCTTCTTTAGATTTATTATTTATTAAGACTATATTCCCTGAATTTTTTTAAAGTATTGAAAGTATTCATTACTTCTGCTTAGATTTTAAAGACTTTACTAAAAAAAATTATTTGTAGATTAGCATCTTCAAGAAGATGAACTCCTAAAGTCTTTTCTAGAGCTAGGAGTTTGCTTTTCAAACAACATTCTTTTAAGTTACTGTTTCCTAAATTGTCAATTGTGACCCAATAAGTGGATTGTGCAATCAATGTAATGGCTTGCTACGAGTCCCTTAAAGAAATGATGTCTGGGATAGAATATTGCATGTAAGTATTACTTTGGCAAAGCTTTTTACATGAACACTTTAAAGAAAATTTTTATATTTATTTATTTATTTATTGGCTGCTTTGGGTCTTAGCTGCAGCATGCGGGTTCTTTCGTTGCAGCACGCCGGCTCTTTCTTGTGGTGTGTGGGCTTCTCTCTAGTTGTGGCGTGAGGGCTCCAGAGCGTGCGGTCTTATTGGTTGCGGCCTGTGGGCTCTCTAGTTGTGGTGCGCGGGGGCTTAGTTGCCCCACGGCATGTGGGATCTTAGTTTCCTGACCAGGGATCAAACCAGCGTCCCCTGCATTGCAAGACAGATTCTTAACCACTGGACCACCAGGGAAGTCCCTGAACACTCTTAAAATATCCCTGAACACATCTCTTCTGAGTTGCGTAAAAGTGACTGTGAGCTTTATTCTGCCAAGTCTCCCTCAGGTTTAGTACCCCAAGGAGCACAGTACATTTTCTAAGGAAGGGATAGGGAAGATGTGATGGGGGAACTTCTCTGTTAGAGTCACGCCAGGGAGGGGAGAGGGTTGCAGGAGGGAGAACCCTTCCCTACGCTTCACAGGATGGAGCCCACAGTCACATTTGTGTAACTCATAAAAGATTTGGGCGGAGATTTTTAAGAGTGCTCACAGCCTGTAGCAAATGTTCTCCAAACTTCTTTGACACAACCTATAATAAGAAGAACATTTTATATCTCTGGCCCCATGGGAGACCAGTGTTGACTGGGAATGTGGTTTAACTCACTCTGAGAGAGATGGTCTTGTTAACTTCATTCAGTCTCCTCAGTCATAATAACAAAAATGATTGTAATATCAACCACTTACTGGGTTTTTTTGTAATTTGTGAAAACTCTTCACATATATTATTTCTAAGCGTTAGACCCTGAAAGATCCCATTGCTGTTGCTATTCATAGATGAGGAAACTGAGACTTGAGAAGGAAAAGTGACTTATCCAACACAGCACATCAAGCAGCCAAACTAAGGCTAAAATCCTGGTTTTTAACCTCATTCCAAAGGCTAGCTCTTCTCACTATAGCAGTGCTTTTTAGGCTTCCCCTGAGTATAAGGGCCATCTGGGTTGTCTAAGTGTATCAGTTCTTAGGCTTTATCCCAAACCAACTGAACTAGAATCTCCAGAAGAGATATCTGGGAAGCTATAGATTTGATAAGTATCCCAGGATATTCTTATGATCAGGCTCTTTTAGGAAAGATTGCAGTACATCAGTGGTTCTCAAACTTCATTGTGCCTCAGAATTAACTGTAAGGCTGGTTAAAACACAGAAGGCTGGGTTCCTCCCCAGAGCTTCTGATTCATTAAGTGTGATGGGGCTCAAGATTTTTTATTTCTAGCAAGTTCCTATGTGATACTAATGATGCTGGTTATAGGAAATACACTGTGAGAAGCAGTGCAGTGCTTCATGCTAACCCATGAATCTAGTTTTTCAGGACAGGGTCTGGGCTAACTTTGGCTGTGGGATTTTTCAAGCACAGTGTTAAACAATACATATTCAGTATCTACTATATTCACATTCAAGGGAGACAGAAAATGAATCAGAATCACGCCTCTCCCACCCCAACCAGCCTGTAATCTGCTATGAAAAATATACAGAATAAAATGTAATATATTCTATGATGAACTTGCAGATCAAATGCACCAGAGAAACGAGGGAGGCACAGATGAATTTTGGCTGGGCAGAGGGACATTTGTAAACGCTTCATGGAACAGTTGAGGTCTGAAAGTCTTATTTTCAACACTTTCATAGCCACACTGCATTGTAGTTCGGTTTGCCTGTCTCCCCTATTGCACCTATAGTAATCTCAGCACCTAGAGCATCTTTTGTGCAGTGAATATAAGTTGGGCCAGGTGTCAGGGAGGGAAGTAGGATTGGTAAGGTAGATGGTTCCCAGACTGTGGAGGATCCTGGTGGCCAGGCTCAGGAGCTTGGGTTTTACCCTGTGTGTGTAGTCACTAAAGTATTTGGAAGGGGGTAGCTGATGAGAACTCTGTCAGGGATCTGTAACATGGATTGGAGGTGGGAAAGTCTGGAGGTGAGGGACAGCAAAGATGTTACCATAGGACTTAGCTGAGAGAAAATGCAACAGGATGGAGAAACACTGGAGGGGGAAGGATCAGGACAAGTGATTACTGTTGGGGGGGAGGGAGAGGTTGGAGATGAAGAGATTTTCATTCTGAACCACTGAGATGGTGGTGGTCTCCAAAGGGGAGATCCCTAAAAAGGATTGGTTCTTTTCTCTGGAAATAAAGAAGGAAGCAGGGAAAATCTGGACAAAAAGTTCAAAGCAAGTGATTCATCTTTGTCAGACAGGAACAGTTACTAACCTTGGGTGGCCTTTCCACCAAGGCCCCCAGTTTATGTCTACCAGAGCTATGCACTCTAAAATGGCCAGTGACTTCTTTCACTTTCCTTCCAACCAAATAGAATTTCTATTTCTTTGATGCACATTTGGGATGTGAAAAGACAATAATATGTGAATGACTCTGACTACTTCGTTTTGGGCTTATGAACAGATAAAAATATAGCAGTGCCTCAAGATAGCTTCTTAAATCACCCCTCTCCTCCTTGATCTTGATATATGTATTCTCTCGCTCATTATTCTAGACAGTAGAATACCCTGCTCTTTTGTTTTTCCTGGATATATCAGTCAGGATTCAGTTGCAGAAAACAGAAATAGTTTGAGCTATTTTAAGCATAAAGAGATCTATAATAATGGGAATGTGATGCTTTTAAAATCAATGGAAAGATTGGAAGAATGGGCTCTAGGCAGGGAGGGTTTTCCAGAGATGACTCATACAGCACGTTTAACTGGCTGCCAGAGCTGCTGCTCCTTCTGGCACAGTCAGGAAGGTGGGAAATCTGGAGGCCAACATTGGCAACAAACCACCTTAACTGAAATTCAGGGATCGTGTGGCCTCTGGTGTCACAGCTTTTGACTCTGGAGCCTTGCTATGTCTGTTTGAATGCTCACTGGCAAAAAAGGCTACCCACAAAAGAAGTAACTGGAACCCTGCCACAGAAGAACTCAACGTCACCATGACTGCTTGCCAGCAGGAACATCAGAACCTTCGTCCTTCCAAACTGTATGTGAGTGCACGTGGTTAGTAGATCCTAAAACACATCTAGGACACTGGCTGCAGGAGGGTCTTCACCTCCCCATCCTCAGCAGTTGGGGAAAGTGTATTGGAGGGAGGATGGACTGGATGTCGAATGGCAATCTGTTATGTCCACTGTGCTAGGAGTTGAGCTTTATCTTCTCTTTGAATTCAAATATTTGACTGGATGAGATAGGAAGCTTTTCCCTGTGAACCTACTTTGGCAAAGCCCTGTCTTCTCCAGCCTAGCTTTGGGTGGGCCTGATTTTTAAGAGGTGGTTTGATGGAATCTAAGGATTTCAGCATATCGTTAAGCAGTCAGTTTGATATGTGTGTGCTTTGTCTTCACATTTGGTGGCTCATAAACTGATTGTCTATTCATATAATGGTATAACAAAAAGTTAGAGGGAACAGTGGCTCTACTTCCAAGCGAAATTGAAATATAGCTATAGTCCGTGTAGGTCTACTTTATACTGATTTTATATTTCTTTTACAGTAAGTGCTGCAATACAAAAGCTAATGTATTTTCAAGGAGTCTGTAAGTCAGCCATTAATGACACATTTTGCCTTCAGATTTTGATTTACCTCATCTCTTGGTTTAATTTAGGTTTTTGTTGATAAGTTTTTTTGTTTTGTTTTTTGTGGTACGCGGGCCTCTCACTGTTGTGGCCTCTCCCGTTGCGGAGCACAGGCTCCGGACGCACAGGCTCAGCGTCCATGGCTCACGGGCCCAGCCGCCCCGCGGCATGTGGGATCTTCCCAGACCGGGGCACGAACCTGTGTCCCCTGCATTGGCATGCGGGCTGTCAACCACTGCGCCACCAGGGAAGACCCCTGTTGATAAGTTTTAAACCTCCTGTTTATATTCTTATGTATATGTAGTTTGTAGCCTAGAAATAAAGACCTAATGCCGTAACAGTTTTCTGTTCATCTTGGCAAGATATGAATCAGGAAGGGAAAACCTTAATGTGAGAAGGCAGTTCTGCTTAGGCTGATGCTTTGCCTCAGTCTAAGAAATGAAACCATTTCCTGTGACTTGGAGTGAGGAGCAGGTTAGGGATCAGAAGGCAGAGAACTTTTTACCTCTCTTATCATGAGGCTTTCATAGAGTGAATTTATTATTCCAATATTATAAAACAAAACCACCAAAAGATTACTACTAAAATGCATTCAGAAGCAAACAATTATTCTTGAATTATTTCCCACTTTGGATTATCTGACTTCTGCACAATATCTATTTAGTACAGATATCAAACATCAGTGTGTTTATTTCGGTAGAGGTATAAAATGAGAGAAAACACCCTTTGACTTATCAATGACTTAAAGAACAATTTTTTGTGTGTTATTAAAAACCCTGTAGAATACTGCAAGGAATTCCTGTTATGGGTGACAATCAAGAATATGTTGCCGTACTTCCAACAAGACCAGGGATACCACCTGAATTGGCACCAGGAACTGGACGGAGTGCTCACAAACCATACCTACAACTCTTGGGAGAGGAAGTAAGAAGTTCCTTTAATATTAGTTTTCTCTCTCTTACAAGCGGTCAGACTTTTTGGTTTCAGGACCCTTTTTATACTCTTAAAAATTTTTGAGGACTTCAACAATTATTTATGTGGGTTATATCTATTGACATTTACGGTGTTGGAAATTAAAACTGGGAAAAGGCTTAAATGTTTATTTTTTAAAATTAAAAATAACAGTAATAAAGTCATATATGTTAACATAATGTATTTTTATGAAAAATAGTTATATTTTTTAAAACAGAAAAGTAGTGTGAAACTAGGATTGTATTTTTTTTTGCAAATCTCTTTAATGTCTCGCTTAATAGATGATAGCTGGATTCTTATGTTTGCTTCCGCATTCAATTTTGTGGTAGGTTGTTTTGGTTGAAATATATGAGGAAAATTCTGGCTTTGTGAAGATATATAGTTGGAAAAGAAGAGATTATTTTAATAGACTTTTAACATAATTATGGATATTCTCCTTTAATAATATACCAAAACTTTACAAGTGGTAGTTTCTTGAAACTTAGTTGTGAGACTTCCACTTCTGGGGATGATGCGGTAGAAGTACTTTTTCCTATTCCTCCTGCTAAGTACAGGTAAAAACCTGCGTGTTACAAACAGGACAGGTCTAAAAGGTGGAGAGACTAAGGCACTAACTAGGAACTTTGGGACCCAACAAATGGCACAGTGGTGAGTTAGTTCCTTGGGTTTTCTTTTTTGCTTCACATATTCTAGACTTAGAGTTGAAAAAATTGGTAACCTAGAAAGAAAACTAGGTAAAGACAGAAGAAAAACAAAAAGTCCAAACAAAAGCCTACTCCCTCTAGCCAAAGAACCAGGAAAGGGACAGCCTAGCAAGACAAAACTTTTCAACAATAACTACTCTACCCTAGCCAAACACCACAGAAAAAATGGTGGCCCTGGTCCTTTCCTCACCTCTTCCAGCAAAGGCCTAGAAGGAAAACTAGACTTTTACTCTTGCCCAGAGTATAAGAAGGCACTATAATACCCCTGCCAGGGTGGTATCAATGAAGGCTGTTTGGGGCTGGAACTTTCACCTTAATAAAGTGGTAATGAGGTTTCACCTCTTACTGTGTTAGTTGAGACCACATGGGGATCCTGGACTTGCATCCCCACCTAGTAGTAATGAGCCACTCCTCTCCCTCCCCACTGTGGTGGTACCAGAGGAAGCCTAGCAGAGTGTCAACTAAAACAGAAGGTTTAAATAAGATCCAGAGCCTCAGAGCAAAGTACCCCAAATATCCCAATTTCAACTGAAAATCACTAATCATACCAAGAACCAGGAAAGTCTCAAACTGAACGTAAGAAGATAATCAATAGATGCTATCGCTTAGATAACAGAGATGTTAGAATTATCTGACAATGATTTTAAAGCTACCATCCTAAAAATGCTTCAGCGATAATTATGAACACACCTGAAACAAATTTAAAAAAAATAGAAAGATTCAGAAAGGAAATAGAAAGTCTTAGTATGGACATTGAAGATACATAGTAAAGAAATTGAAGACATTTTAGAATTGAAAAAATATAGTAACTAAAATAAAATGCTCAGCAGGTGGGCTCAAAAGTAGCATGGATGAAACAAGAAGTGAACTTGAAGATAAAAGAATATAATTTATCCAGTTTGAGCAACAAAGAGAAACAGACTGAAAAAAAAAAAATAACAGACCCTCAGGGACTTGTGGGAGTAAAACAAAAGATCTAACATTTGTGTTATCACAGCCCTGGAAGGAGAAGAGGAAGAGGGGTGACTGAAAACAAATAGGAAGAAATAATGACTGGAAACTTCCCCAATTTAGCAAAAGACTTAAACCTACATATTCAGGAAGCTGAGCAAACTCCAATCAAGCAAAATCCAAAGAAATCTGTACCAAGTCACTTACTAGTGAAACCTATGAAAACTAATAACAAAGAAAAAAACCTTGAAAGCAGCAAGAGAGAAGTAATATGTTACCTACAGGAGAAAAACAATTTTAATGGCAGTGGATTTCTCATCAGAAACCATGGAGGCCAGAAATAAGTGGTGGAACATTTTTCAAATGCTGAAAGGAAAGAACTGTAAGCCCTGAGTCCTATATCCAGAGACGATATCCTTCGGGGATGAAAGGGAATCAAGACATTTTCAGATGAAAGGAAACTAAGAGAATTTGTCACCCAGCAGACTTACACTACAAGAAAGGCTAGAAGATGTTCTCTAAACAGGAAAAAAAAAAAATGATGAAAGAAAAACATCTCGGAATATCTAAAAGGAACAAAAACGTGTAAAGCAAAAACACAGGTAAATGCAATAGAGTTTCCTTCTCCTTTTGAGTTTTCTAAATTATGTATGTCAGTTGAAGAAAAATTATACTGCTAAATGTATATAGAGGAAATGTTTAAGACAACTGTATTATAAATGGAGAAGAGTAAAGAGACATAAAGGGAGGTAAGGTTTCTACACACCACTTGAACTGGTAAATTGGAGACATCAGTAAACTTTGATAAGTTATGTTTATTATGTTTATATAATGTAATACCTAGAGAAAAACTAAAAAGCTATACAAAGAGATATATACTCAAAAATACCATAGATAAATAAAAGTGGAATTCTAAAATATGTCCATGTAACAGGAAAGCAGGAAAAAGAAAACAGAGAAGCAAAAGAAACCAGAGAGAACAAGGAGGAAACAAAAATGAAATGGCAGACAAAATCCCTAACTTAAATACATCAGCCACTATGGAGAACAGTATGGAGATTCCTTAAGAAACTAAAAACAGAGCTACCATATGACCCAGCAATTCCACTACTGGGCATATACCCTGAGGAAACCATGATTCAAAAAGAGACATGTACCACAATGTTCACTGCAGTACTATTTACGATAGCCAGGACATGGAAGCAACCTAAGTGTCCATCAACAGATGAATGGAAAAAGAAGATGTGGCACATATATACAATGGAATATTACTCGGCCATAAAAAGAAATGAAATTGAGTTATTTGTAGTGAGGTGGATGGACCTAGAGTCTGTCATACAGAGTGAAGTAAGTCAGAAAGAGAAAAACAAATACTGTACACTAATACATATATATGGAATCAAAAAAAAAAAACACAACAATGGTACTGAACCTAGTGGTAGGATGGGAACAAAGATGCAGATGTATAGAATGGACTTGAGGACACAGTGTTGGGGGGAAGGGGAAGATGGGATGAAGTGAGAGAGTAGCATTGACATATATACACTACCAAATGTAAAATAGATAGCTAGGGAGATCATAGCATGGGGAGATAGCACAGGGAGATCAACTCAGAGCTTAGCATAGCACAGGGAGATGAACTTGGTGCTTTGTGACCACCTAGAGGGGTGGGATAGGGAAGGTGGGAGGGAGGCTCAAGAGGGAGGGTATATGGGGATATATGTGTACATATAGCTGATTCACTTTGTTATACAGCAGAAACTGACAGAACATTGTAAAGCAATTATACTCCAATAAAGATATAAAATATATATATATATATATATGGTCTAAATACACCAGTTAAGTTACAGAACTTGCAGAGTGGGTTAAAAGACATGACCAACTATTTAGTGTCCACAAGAAACAGACTTCAAACATAATGACTTAGAGAAGTTGAAAGTAACAGGGTAAAAAAAGATAAGTTGTGCAAACACTAATCAAAGAAAGGCAGGAGTGGCTATATTAATATCAGATAAAGTAGACTTCCCAGCAAAGAAAGTTATCAGAGACAGAGAGAGGCATTATATTATGATAAAAAGGTCGATCCACCAGGAAGACATAGTAGTCTTAAAGAGTGTGTGCCCAAAACAGCTGCAAAATATGTGAAGCAAAAACTGGTAGAACTCAAAGGACAAATAGGCCATTCCACAATTATACTTGGATACTTCAACACCCCTCTCTAAATAGTTGGTAGAACACTTAGAAAATCAGCAAGGATAGAGAAAAATCAATAACTCCATCAACCAACAAGATCTAATTGAAATGTACAGAACACTACACCCAACAAGAGCAGAATACATATTCTTTTCACATTCCTGCAGGACATATACCAAGATAAAACAAATCCATGATGAAATCAAACTAGAGATCAATAACAAAGGTAACAAAAAAATCTCCAAACTGTTGGAATCTAAACAATACAGGTATAAGTAATCCATGGGTTAATCCAGGGAGTCTCAAGGGATTTAAAAAATACATTGAAAATCAATTGAACTGAATTAAAATGAAAAGACAACACATCAAAATTTGTGGAACACAGATAATGCAGTGCTGAGAGGGAAAATTATAGCACTAAATGCTTATAGTAAAAAAGAGAAAGTCTCAAATCAGTAATTTAAGCTCCCACCTCAAGAACCTAGAAAAAGAAGAGCAAAATAAACCCAAAGCAAGCAGTGGGAAGGAATAATGAAGAGCAGAAATCAATGAGGTTGAAAACAGGAAAACAATAGAGAAAATCAATGAAACAAAGAGGTAGTTCTTAGAAAAAATTGACCTCTAGCAAGACTGACACGGAAAAACCAGAAAATACACAAATTACCAATATTAGAAGTGAAACAGGAGATATCACTGCAGACCCTGCAGACATCAAAATAATAATAAGGGAATACTATAAAAAACTCTACACACATAAATTTGACAACAGACAAAACACAAACTACCACAACTCACTCAATAGAAATAAATACTTTGAATAGCTCTACAATGTTAAGGAAAGTGAATGCTTAATTAACAAAACTCCTTTCTCAGAACCCTGAAAAATAGTTTGGCAGTTAAAAAACCAAAATAAACATGCAACTACTATTAAGTATGTTGCAGAATGAATACATAAACTCTATAAGGATAAGTCTTCAGAGAATTATGCTGGTAAAAACCAATTCCAAAACACTACACGCTGGCTGATTTTATTATATAACATTCATGAAATGACAAAATTACAGAAATGGAGAACAGATTAGTGGTTTTCAGGGTTTCAGA